GGGGGATGTCCCAGCAAAATGATAGCATACATCCGTTCTAGCGTCGGATAAGTTAATCGGATTTCATGGTAATATCAGAGTAAATTTGTTACATAATAAATAAATGTATAAATGTATTCAGCATAAAATAAATATTCTAACGCTATGTATAATTCTAGAAACTGACCCTACGCCGGCGTTCATGGGCAACAGACTCAAGATGCAGTTTCCGCAGATATTGTCTGTACTCGTTAAACTCCGCCAGTGTGCAGAGAACTCGGCCATCTCTAGTTAGGAAGCCATTCCTGATCAATCGCCTTCTCAGTGGTTTCCGCGCGAAATGATGACGCAGGTGTTTGTCGTGAAGCGTCTTGTACAGATTCGACATCGTATATGCATAGGGGTCGGTAAGGTCAAAATCTCTTGCCGTATCATACACATGAAGCTGCATACAACCAACGATGAAAGCACAAATCAACTCTGAATATAGATGCATATAATGCAATTAAACATGATATTATATATTTGCACACTGTGTGTACTATCTAACATATGGTATGGACATTATACAGTCTTTAGTGGTAGGTATAAAACTTTACTGATTTTGGTGCTGGTCTGCGTAAACTCTGGTATAGAGCAATCGTTAATAGATAAACCTATATACAATTAATGTGTAGAATTGCAAGTACCATATTTAAATAGCCGTAAAACTCGTTCATTTGTTTGATAAAATTATGGTGCGGAAATTGGTATGATAGTAAATGACAAAATGTATAGAAATGGCCAAGGTAATTCGCTGATAAATTACATAAGAATCGTTTAGTTTTTATGCATACTTAAATTTAGCAAAAATATAAAGCAGACCTACCGGTTCGCACAGTTTGGTAGAACATAATACTATCGCGCCTTTTGGACCACGCAACATTGGCAGCTTCGCGTCCAGGGGAAGGCTCATCCAAGCTGGCAGGGCAGACGGCGGAACGCCAGTTTTCGCTGCGAAGTCTCCCTCGGCCATCCGCGGGCGCTTTAGAAGCGTTAACAAAGGATCCATCTTGTACACGACGCCGTGTGACACGATTTGTCAGTTGCGAATATTGTTATTTAGCTCAGTCACAATATAGATATTAGCGATTAACCACTTTGTACATCAGTGATAAGGCACTCCTGAAAATTCTCATCCCATCAAAGCGAATTAATATATACTTTTTTCGTGAAACAGCATGTACAAACCATAGATCAGCTGGTTTTAAATCTAGACTGCATTTCAGATTCCACCCACATGTCACAATGCTAAAAAACATTGTTGCGTCTGACTACGCGAAACAATAACCGTTTGCGCATTCCATTGTTGTTTCGATACAGCCGCTGTGGTACTAAACGTCAATAAACAAAACGTCAATAACACGTGAACACAAAATATAATTATTACATTTCACAACTCTAGAGCTCAACAACTATTCATAATAACATATATGTACATATATCTCAACAACTATTCATCATAATTAAATAAACTTGAATTTTGATTTCAGCGAAAAACACTGTACACCTATTTGTATTTAAAATTATGATTTATGTTTGTATTACATGCAATAAAGATTTAATAATAATATGAAATTTGTTCATTTGTGATTTGGCAAATGTTGCGTATGTTAATTTCAGTGTTATATATAATAAAATATGAATACGCAATTAAATTAATTGCTAAGTAACATTACAATTTAAGACAATAAGGGCGGATGTGACGAACGACCCAAAAGTCGACTACACCTTTCTTCACATTCGTGGTCATTGTATTACCTAGTAATGTTATTTAGCAAAATTAATTGTGACTACCACGCAATAATTACTTAAAAATTAATTATAACAAATAAATAGGATACAACAGTTGATTTTTTATTGGCAATAATTACGATTTAAAAATAATTCATTAACATAATTAGACATAATATTATTCATAATCAAATATTTCCATATATTTTATACTAGTTTTATAGTTTGATATATATACAGATGGGAAAGGGTGATTGAAATATTTTCAATGAAGCGCTTGCATCATTACTTTGCGCGGGAAAACCTCGCTGGAAGCGCTGATGAATCGCTCGATGCAATAAATTAATGACATCATATTCTATTTTGTAATATAAAAATAATAACATCAATAATAATAATATAACAAACAATGCATTTTAATGATGGATAGAGGGGAGCATTAGAGTATAGGTGAATTATATCTAGAACCATCGAGCTGTGCCGTAGGTAGGAATATCATGAACATGTCTGAATATGATACAAATGCATTGTACTGATATATGTTCATGGATGCATCCACCTATTCTGTCGGCCTGATTTTTCCAGTATATATGCGGCAAGAAATATGTGCGCCAAAAAATGTCACCCGGACTGTCAGCGGTTGAACATTTCTTCCTTAAAATCCCACTTTAGTTTGATTACTAGTAATTTTACTAAGAACGTATTATCAGTAAGGTGTATGTATCTCCGGAAGTCCACGCCCTCCTCCGCCGTTGAGGGCTGCTACATGGACATGCACAAAGAGCCTATCTAGTATAATTATTATTTCTATAGCGGCTACAGACATCAGTTGATTCGTTTCCTGCTGCCATCTGGTGACTAACCCAAGCCTAGACTTTACTGAGTTTGACCTATGGTTTGACGGTATCTGTTAGACAGGTTGTCGAAACTGTTGGCCACGGGTTAATTACTAGGGTTTATCGTGAAATAAAGGTTTTCTGAATATTATCGCGAAGTCTGCTTAACTTTCTCCAACATTCCGATTTAGTTTGTCGTGTGGTGCGAGATATGGACCCGCAACACAATTTGACACGGAATTCGCGGATCACGCCTGCATAAAATAAATTTCAGACAGTCATTCACTATAGCTATCCATACGTGACCGCATATAGCACGTCGAGTGATAATTATAAATGAAGCGTATTTGTGGACGAGATATGCGTTGATAACGTTGTTGTTTGATAACCGACCCATTGGATAAACACGCTTACGAGATAACACTACCAGCCATTTATATAACGCCACTTCACAGTGACGATCGCAGCCAAAATCATTACAACAACTAATCTGAAAAAACACCTGGAGTTTTCCATGGTCATGGTATGCTTTAGAATGGTTCAGATAATATAATAATTTGGAGTAAATAAAGTTACGGATTGAACGCGCACAATTAATTCTTTGATAGATCGGCTGAGAGAGTGTAACTGTTTCAACGCATGCTATCTGCTTGTCGCGCGCGCGCGTGTGTGTGTGCGCCGTGCTCGAATGCAGTTGTTTGTGCGTGCGCGTGTGTAAAGGTGCGTGCGCGTGCGTAGAGGTGCGTGCGTGCGTGTGCGTGTGTGGGTGCGTCTTTGTGTCTTTGTGCTTGTATTTGGCTGGCTGTGCTGTGCTGTGCTGTGCTGTGCTGTGCTGTGCTGTGCTGTGCTGTGCTGTACTGAGCTGTGTGTGTGTGTGTGTGTGTGTGTGTGTGTGTGTGTGTGTGTGTGTGTGTGTGTGTGTGTGTGTGTGTGCGCGCGTGTGGGTGTGCGGCGCGCACGAGCGTTCCCTCTTCGACAGTTTCGATAACTATTATTATATAACACTGTTGCTATCATTTAATCCGCGGGATAGATAAAATACAAGAATATCGTTGCAAATATCAAAATGATAGACTATAATTGTGTTTGATAACATACACAGTTCTTTATTATACAAAGGTATACAGACTAGCTTAGTAACCCTAAGACCAGCACAAATATTCCTGATCTATAATCCACAATCGTAATGCAGTAATTAGTATAACATGGGGTTTAAGTTAATGCCGTAATAACTCGTAAGAAATATATATATATATATATATATATACCATTGGCAATTCAGATATTTGTATATATATATATATACTCAAGCATATAAATGTACATATATATACATTTTTATGCTCGAGCTACGGCCTCGTGTTCCGAGTGTAACTGTAGACAGAGACTGTAGGCCGGTGAAAGACGATTGACAGCAGTGTATCAATCAAAGCTATATAGGTGCGTACAATGAATACGGTATACAAATTGCCCCCCGGCAGTAGGTCTTTCAAGCAATACGTGCATTGTCCCTAAGCACTATATGCAGTCCGTGTCGGTCATAACGACACGGGCCGTGGCAAGAAAGCAACCTAGGCAAACAAGGAAATGTTTCTTTTATAACAAAAATACACACATTACGACCCAATTCTGTTTTGTATTAGTGCAGATGCGGGTGATCGCGCGTATTTTGACAATATTAATTGAAAATTATATTTTTGTTAGTATTGTGTTGATGGGTGGCGCATGCAGGTGTAAGTGGTGTAGAGTGGAATAGGAGCTAACGGGATGTGACGGGGTTCGCATGCTAATGCTGAGTGGAGTGAGAGTAGGTGTTGTGTTGTGAAGTTTGGTAAGTGTTGTGTTGTGAAGTTTGGTAAGTGTTGTATGAAGTGAGAGTAGGTGTTGTGTTGTGAAGTTTGGTAGGTGTTGTGTGGGGGGTGAGACTAAGTGGTGGTGTGCTGGGATGTTTGGTAGGTGTTGTGTGGGGTGAGAGCAAGTGGTGGTGAGCTGGGAAGTTTGGTAGGTGTTGTGTGGGGGGTGAGCAAGTGGTGGTGTGCTGTGAAGGTTGGTAGGTGTTGTGTGGGGATGAGACCAGGTGGTGGTGTGCTGGGAAGTTTGGTAGGTGCTGTGTGGGAGTGAGACCAAGTGGTGGTGAGCTGGGAAGTTTGGTAGGTGTTGTGTGGGGTGAGAGCAAGTGGTCGTGTGCTGTGAAGTTTGGTAGGTGTTGTGTGGGGTGAGACCAGGTGGTGGTGTGCTGTGAAGGTTGGTAGGTGTTGTGTGGG